CTGATTTACTAAACAAGAACTGATTGTGTAAGAATAATCATCGTTTTCAGAATGTGTAAGATTATTTGTCTTGTCTGATTTCAAAGTGCACAAGAATCCAACTTGAGACGTTGGATGGTTTTTTGATACAAGAAACACATTCGGTCTGAATGCAACTTAAGTTCTTTGCAAATTGATGAACCTGCTCTTCTTTACTTATGACCTTATTTWAAAAAAGTGGCACAATTTAAAACATTTACATGTTCTATGTTCCATTGTACATGAACTATGGGTTTATGAGATTTGCAAATCATTGCAGTYAGTTTTCCATTTCCATTTTACAGAATTTACCAACGTCTTAGGAACTGAGATTTTAAATGGAACTATAGCAGTCTTTGACTGCCGWAAAAATAAAAAATAMAAAAAAGTCCAGCATGGCTGTGTTTGTGGTTTGATTAAAATGCACTTTATCAGTGGGGTTCACACTCACACACACTCTTGACACACTCCATTTGAGTGCCTCTCCCACATTGGTTTGGACACAGCTGAGCAGATGTTCAACAGCCTTCATCTAACACTTCATCTCTGTGTGTGTGTTATCAGGTTGATCTTCCCTATCCACCCATCGTTCAGAGTGCTGGCCCTGGCAGAGCCTCCCATTGTGGGGGCCAGTTCAAGCAGCAGTAACAGCAGAGGACAGCAGTGGTTGGGGCCGGAACTGCTGACTATGTTCCTTTACCACACTGTCGCTCCGCTGGCTAAAGCAGAGGAAATGAGTCTCATTGAGGGACTGGTGAGTCCCACATACAAAACCTCACTTATATTTCTCCTGACAGAATTAATTATTTATATGTTTTGGTTATTTTTGTCCTCATTATCACTCACCTTTTTAAGTGTAACAATGTTCCAAAAGAAGCAGCAGAGCAGCTATTACTCCTTGTGCACAGTCTCCGCAAGACAAACGACCCTACAGTAAGTTTGTTTACTTTTGRTCACATTTTCATCCATACCTGCAAACATAGAGTATAGTGCTTGTGTTTGACTTGTCTTTCTAGGCGCAGTCTCTGGCCTCTTCCCTCTCAACCAGACAGTTACTGAGGATCTGTCGCCGCCTCTCTCAATACCCAGAGGACAGTGTTGCTTACGCGGTCAATAAGGCTTGTCTCTCCAGGTGCCTCCAAATATACACACCCTCGAATTGCTTTGTTTTCACAATACGTTTTAGTCCTTTCTGATAAAAGGATGTTTTTAAAGGTCCTTGCAGTGTTGACATGACTTAGGACATGAAAGGAGATTTCAAACGGTGGACAGGAACAGAAAATACGGTTATATGTTAATCATATTTGATGGATGTGTTCAATTTAAAAATCTTCTACTATTGCTAATGTTTCATAGTAATATATTGTTTAGTAGATTGTACCTACTGCTGTTACAACCGAATTTCACCCCTGCAGGACAATAAAGGCCGTTTCTATTCTATTCTATTCTATTCTATTCTATTTGTTAAAATATATCACAACACATAAGATGGGTTGTGTTAAACATTTTGGGTGTAATATTTTACCAGTCATCCTCAAGCACGTTCTTTTAACAGTGTGGCAAGCCTTAAAAGGAAGTATCCTTTGACCTCTTACAGCACACATAAAGAATAGTGTGCCCTCTGCTGGTGCTGATTAAAACAGCACTGTATCACAGAAATRGGTTTACAGGGGTTACATTCATTTTGCAGGTGTGCTCAAGTAGATTAAACCAGTACGAGAGGCATCTTATCAGATCCCTGAGCCACCTCAAATGACCTTTCGATGAGGAGGAACAGCAGCTCTTCTATGAGCTCCCTCCAGATTTCTTCACCCCGTCTCTATGGCTGAGCCTAGCCACCCTATGAAGAAAGCTCATTTTGGTCCTGATACACGCCTCATGACCATAGGTGTGGGTTGGAACATAAATAGACCAGTAAATCAAGAGCTTTTCCTTTTGACTCAGCTCTTTCTTCACCACAGCTGACTGAAGCAGTGCCCTCATTACTGAGGATGAGGCCCCAATCATACAGTGCATCTCCCACTCCATCCTATYGTCACTCATGAACAAATCACCCAGTTACTTAAACTCCTTCAACTGAGGCAGAAACTCAGCTCCTGCTTTGGTTGTACAGGGACTGATTTGCTCTTAGTTAAAGTTATGGAACTGAATTGAAACAAATTTAATTTAATTGAACTGAAACAAAACAAAATGAAACTCAGACACTCCATATTCCCACAGCACCCCCACAGAATGCCTTGAGAAACACGGTCAAAAGCATTCTCCAGGTTTACAAAACATGTAGGCCAGAGAGGCAAACTCTCACAAACCCCTTAGTAAGTCTGCAAGGGTAAAAATCAGATCCACTGTTCTGCAACCAGGGCTGAAGACACACTGTTGCTCCTAAATTTGAGGTTTTATGATCAATTGGAGCCTCCCTTCCAACACCCTGTTTTCCAGGAAGGGTGAGACGTGTGATTGCATGATAGTTTGAACAGACTCTCCTGTTCCCTTTTTTAAAAATGGGAAACACCACCCCGGTCTGCCGCTCCACAGAAGTTGTCCCAGTCCTCCTTGCACTGTTAATGAGACATGTCAACCATGAACACCTTACATACGACCTCGTTTTGTCCTCGTTATTTAAAATCAAGACTACCTTGAAAGGTAGTCTGCAACCACATTGGCCTCTGAGCATGATGTCAGCAGCACATGTGGTGGTCCCGCTGGGCTTGCTTCACATGAGGTGCCTGCAGAGATGGTTCAACTGCCAGCGGATCGATCCTGTGGACCACAAGCGATGAGTGATCTTGGTTCCTCCCTCGGTGGGAGCAGATCTGAGTTGCTGCAAAAATCTCCACAAAATGTCAGAAGGAGTCCCTCTGAGCAGAGCGACATCTCATACCTCGGTGTTCAGCGGCGCGCCCCTCTCAGGGCGGGGGTCAAATGCCAGGGCATAATTTAAACCCAATAAAAATAAATGAGTAAGTGAGTGAGTTAGGGAGGGAGGGAGGGAGGGAGGGAGGAAGGGAGGACGGACGGAAACTTGTCCACTATGCCGGGTAAAGGAAACTTGTCCACTACGCCGGGTAAAGGAAACTTGTCCACTACGCCGGGGAAAGGAAACTTGTCCATTACGCCGGGGAAAGGAAACTTGTCCACTATGCCAGGAAAAGGAAACTTGTCCACTACGCCGGGAAAAGGAAACTTGTCCACTACGCTGGGAAAAGGAAACTTGTCCACTACGTCGGGGAAAGGAAACTTGTCCACTACACCGGGTAAAGGAAGCTTGTCCACTACGCCAGGGAAAGGAAACTTGTCCACTACGCCGGGGAAAGGAAACTTGTCCACTACGCCGGGGAAAGGAAACTTGTCCACTACGCCGGGGAAAGGAAACTTGTCCACTGCGCCGGGGAAAGGAAACTTGTCCACTATGCTGGGAAATGGAAACTTGTCCACTACGCCGGGAAAAGGAAACTCGTCCACTACGCCGGGAAAGGAAACTTGTCCACTATGCCGGGTAAAGGAAACTTGTCCACTGCACCGAGGAAAGGAAACTCGTCTTATTGATTACGCCAGGGAAAGGAAACTTATCCAGTACGCCAGGGAAAGGAAACTTGTCCACTATGCCGGAAAAAGGAAACTTGTCCACTATGCCGGGAAAAGGAAACTTGTCCACTACGCCGGGTAAAGGAAACTTGTCCACTGCACCGAGGAAAGGAAACTCGTCTTATTGACTACGCCAGGGAAAGGAAATGTATCCACTATACTGGGTAAAGGAAACTTGTCCACTACGCCCGGTAAAGGAAACTTATCCACTATGCCGGGTAAAGGAAACTTATCCACTACGCCGGGGAAAGGAAGCTTGTCCACTACGCCGGGGAAAGGAAGCTTGTCCACTACGCCGGGTAAAGGAAACTTGTCCACTACGCCGGGGAAGGAAACTTGTCCACTGTACAGGGGCTGGACATCGAGGGCCACAGTCCTTCATGTTTTACTTTTTTCTCTGCTCCAACATACTTGATTTGAATGAATGAGTGATTATCCGGTTTCTGGAGAATTTGGAGAGGTAATTCAATGACTGAATCAGCTGTGCTGGAGCAGGGTAAAAATTAAAACATGCAGGGCTGCAGCCGTCCAGGACCAGGATTGCCCACCCCTGCACTACGCCATGTGCTCACTGAGATAACATGCACCCATTGCTGTTACCTGTGTGTAAGGGCTAAGCATTTTTACCTAGCATCCTTTGCACTAATTAGACATTTTATGAAAAAAGCAGAGGGTCCATTGCCCAATAAAGGTTTAAGCATTTCTTTTCATACCCCAAGACAGAATATAACATGTGAAAAACAAGTTAGATCAGCAGAGTAAGACTATAGTAATGTAATTAATTAAAYTAATTGTGATAAAAAAGAAAAGTGCTAATCAGCATAGTTTTCAGTATAATGCTTTGTCGTATAGTACAACAGCAAGTTCGGACAAGAGCGTAACTTTATGTCTGCCATTGTGGGGTTTATGCTCTAAAACCCTGCATGTCATTTTCAGCAGTTATGCTTAAATTTACATGTATGACATCATATTTTTTAATCAGGTCACCTATAAACAAGAGAGTTGCATCTGTGTACTTAACTAGTTAATTTCTACCATGTTTGAGCAAATGATGTCATTTTATTGGAGGGCTTATATTCGCTGGATCAAATTATTGTGGGGGTCATAACCTCCCCTGCAAATTACRCCKATGGGTTCGGAGCAAACCAAACACATCCTATCATCATAACACCTCATACCAGCTGTCAGCATGGTGGTGGAGGACTGATGGTTCTGCAGCCACAGGACTTGTGCACCTTACATTCATTGAATCGACCAAGAACTAGTCTATTCAATAATTCTAGAGTCAAGATGAGACCATCTGTTTGGCAACTTAAGTTCGGACCAAACTGGGTCAAAAACAAGACAGTCATCCCGAACACAGAAAATCTAAAGCAAAGTGACTGACAAAGAAAAGACCATAGGTGTATAAATAACTGAGTCAAGTTCCAGACCTCAAACTTAATAAAAATTGTGTGTTAAGATTTCAACAAAAATATTTATAAAGACAGCAGACTTCGTAGAGCTTTAGTATCATTGTAAAGAAATGTTTGTTGGAATAGTCTTCAGTGTTGATTAGTTTTTACTTGTTTGTTTTGTCATTTCTGTATGTTTTTGGGTTGAAATAAAAAAAGAAAATTCTGTTTGGATTTGTGCTTCAGGTTCCTGCCCAGCCTGGCTCRTGCCTGTCTTGAAAAAAGCCTCACCAACTGCTCCATACAGGACACACTGGATCCTGCTGAGCACTCTCGTGATTATTGCTGTAAGTTTGATATTGATATTTATTAYAGGATTGGATGTCATCAGTTGGTTGCTATGCATAATAAAGTGCACATTCAGATGCATATGTATTAAGTTGTGTCAATAAAAACAGTGCATGTCAGTTTCATGTGCTGCTTCATCCCGTAGAATTGCTCATATATACAGCGGGTAAAATAAGTATTGAACACGTCACCATTTTTCTCAGTAAATACAGTGG